GAGATTTTAGACACAGCTGGGGTAGATTTGCCACTATCAATTATGCACAATTTTAAACAAGAATTGGCCAGCAGGGGCCTCTTTTTTTTTGCAGAGTGCAGAGCGTGAAGAATGGGAATATGGCAGCTGGTACCTGCCTACGAGGGAGAAGATATATAGGAGTCAAGAAAATATGGGAAAGATTAATAGCTTACTATTTTTAAAGTTGCAGTTTCAACTCAAAAGTTTAAATGCTACATTAAAAGTGGACCAGTGGTGTTTGGTGTTGGTTTTTGTTTTTTTTTTTGATTCAAGCATCCAAACTCTGTTGCAAGGTTTGACCTGGCCCTGGTGTAGCCACAAGTAAGTCAGTAGTCTCTGTTTTTAAAAGCCAGGCAGGGAGTTGGGATTCTGTCTCAGATATCATATTACATCACTTTTCATCCTTAAATGAAAACAAGGTATGCATTCAATTAGATTTAACGGTATGGGTCAAATTTCACAGCCAATAATTTTCCTTTTCTTGAAAAAAAAAAAAGGCTTTGGACTCCCCTCCACCAGTGTCAATCCAGAGCAACTCCAGGTAATGGGAATACCAAGGATGAGAATCTAACCAAAGTAAATAGCTCAGGTCTAGAACCATCGACATCTGGATCTATCTAGGTCAGCCTCATAAAACAGCTGGGTTTAAATGACAGGACCAAACCTGGTAGAAGGCTGTGGCTTACAGGGAGAGCTTTAGTTCTCCTGAGCTGTGGAGGCAATGACAAGGCAGTGGAGCCGTCCTGGAAGGTGATGCAGGAGGAGTGTGTTTAATCTCCAACTCAGTGACATCACAGTTCAGACACACAGCTTTTACTTCTCTAATGGCAACACATAATTTTTCCATTGTAGGTGCTTTGAGTCAGTGACATTATATCCACAAAATAGGAAAACCACCACCAAAAAAATTCTCCTGAGGACAACTCTGAGCACTGTCACTTGTTAATAACTTAGATTAACTAGGCTGGTTGCCGTCTGGAACAACTGCAGTTCAGGATATGAGTGCTGCTGTGTAGGTCAAAAAACCTTCCTTCACTTACCGTATGGTTAGGACACATTTTTCCAAAAATGCTGTGTCATGATCAGGTGTGAAATAAAACATCTACTACCCATCCTTTTACCTTCTCCTCTCTCCGTTTGAGAAGGGAAGCCATCAGGATGCCCTGGTGACCTCTAAGATCTGAGACGATGCTGTCTGAATAATCAGAAGCCAGAAGCGATTGGAATACCCTTTTGGAATGCCAGATGGCTGGTAGGAAAACAAGGGTATATTCCAGCTGTTAGAGGCCTTATATATTTCATCGTCATCCAAAGGCGACTAGTTCTCATTTGACTAGGTACACAGTGAAGGTGTCATCAACATTATTAATTTGTCGGAATTTAATCTCTCTAATGTATCTGAAAGCTGTAACAGATGAGATAAGTGATGTCAAGTACAGGGAGGAAGAGGCAGGATTCCCGCACAAAGGTGCTTTTTTTTCCTTTTAACATTTGTGTTCCCGGTTTTATTATCTGTGAAAGCGAGCTGACAGGGCCGGACCTTCTCTCACATCCCTCTCCTGGGAGAGACAACAAAGGAGAGAGGCCAGAGCTTTGCTTACGAATCACTTGGCTTCAGTCCTGCATCTAGCACTGCTGTTGCCACTCGGTCATAGTTGGGGGGACATTTGTCCTCAGAGACTCCAGATGAGAGGCTCTACCGAGTCATACCCCACAGAGCACCAGTTTGTAACTGGATGCCAATGATTTTTTTTAGTTGCCACTGGGCAGGTGATGCAGGAGGGAGGGTTCTTGGTGCATCTCTGCCCAGCCCTCCCCGGTGCACACCTCGTTTTGCTGCTGATTGACGTTATTCACCTGTTGCGGAGCCGCACTAACAGCTGCCAACTCTGAAAGAGAAGCTGCACTAGATGCTAATCTAGCAGTCTAATGTAGTATACTTTGATATGAGGCTGTGTTTCCTCGCCTCCCTGTCTACCCATTCTGATGACATCTGTTTCATATTTCCCCTTGATAGAAGTTGTGACACATTACAACATACAAAGCCTGGCTGATTCCTAGAGCGAGCTTTACAGAGGATGCATTTATGTGAAAAAAAAAAAAAATTACGCTCACAGAGGATGCATTTATGTGAAAAAAAAAAATTACGCTTGGTATGTGAAAGGGGCCAAGCTCTCCTTGGAGACAAACCCAGTACTTGTAGGGAGTTGTTCCAATTACTGCTCTAAATGCTGGCTCAAGGTCATGGATGCAACCCTCTATCTTAGGAGGGTTTCCAAGAGAAATCCAACAAACGTTACCTGGACAGTTGGAGGGTCAAGTTCCATATGTGACCTGAGTCATAGCAGCATGAGATGGGGACGTGGGTGAAATGTTGCTCAGAAATGCCTTGAGGAGCCGAAGGAGATGTATCACATACCCAAGGCTAACACTTCACAGAGAGTGCATACATGTAAATAGGCTTTACTCCTGTGAGTAAGCCTCCTGGGGCTGCATAATAGACTGTGTGGGGTATGTGTCTCCTTCAAAATGATAATAAAGCTTTCTAATTGGAAGTATTTTAAGTCTAGACGGTAGTTCTGTCAGTGGTTTTCCCCTTCATCTTTTTCTCCTGCTTCTGAACGATTTTAAACTGACAGCCCTAGGGAGTGATGTTTTCTCTTATCTCTAGATGTACGGTGTGGCAGGGTAAGACATCCCACCTTCTGCTGGAGGGACCATTGGGTTTGGAGTTTGTGGTGTTGTAGAGTGCATTCTGTGTGTACCATTATACAATGCGTGTGGGGAAAAAAAATCCATATTAGCAGGGATGTCTGTAGTCTCCCACATCTTCCCCCTACACTCTTCTTTAATGGTGACACCAGACTGGATAATAAGAAGCATCTTGTGTAAAAAAGAAGGGAATCTCAGACAAGGCTTTCAGAGTTCATTTTGTTGGCAGCTTTTTAAGTGGAGTTTTTTAGGCTCTTCTGTTTCAAATACCATAATACTTTTTGAGTTAGTAACTATGAATTACGACAAGCTTTCTTGATATGCCAGGTTACAATCCTTTAGTGGTTTTGTTTATTTCAGAATATAATAGGAAGCCGTATCAATTATTATGACTGTATAAATGTTGTTCCTCTCTACTAGAATATTCATCTTGAGACATATCATCAGATGTTACCTGTTCTGACAATCACATTTTTGTGCCATTGTTGGGCAACAGAAACAAAGAAAAACAAAATGTTAAGAGTGTAAGGGATAAAAGAGTGTTGAAACTGTTGTTCTTTTCCTGTCTTTGGAATCTCTGAGATCTTGAATGTTTTATTTCTGGCTGTTATTTTGTTACCACAGTGTGAATAGAAGTCATTATCTGTAAACATTTGAAAAGAGAGATGATTTTCATAACTTTAAATCCTACAAAGGATTCTAGTAATCTGCTATGTGCATGCCGAGGTAAAGCTCAGCCTTTCATCTGGTCTGATCCCACCCAGTCAGTGTAAAATGTTCCTTTGGTGAATGTCTAAAGCATACAGTATCTTTTGTGAGAGGCAGACAAAAACGCAAATAGGAAGCCTGGCCTTGAAGGCAGCAGCAGGAGAAGGTGTATTAAAAAGAAAAATGTATTTACAGCCTTAGGGCTGTGCTCAGCTGGTAAAAGTTTATTTTCAATAATAAACTTTTCAAGTTTTCAAAGGGAGCTGTATTTTTTATGGTGTTCTGAATTAGTCATTGAATGGGATCTCTGTCCAGATCTGCTTTAGTCTCCTATTGCAGTGGCCTCTTCCAGTGGCTGGGGACAGGGCACTCACAGCTCTGCTGCTTCTCAGCAGTTTGTCGAGAATTTGCTGCTGATGAGCTTTTGAACTTGAATATAAAATTAATGGGACCATTATAATGAACCAAAATGCCAAGGAGTCATCCATGTGAGATGGGCACAACATTCTGTATGCAGCAGTGTAAGATGACTGGGGTCGAGAGGGGTGTATATTGTTTTCTGGTTCTGTTGTCTCGATTCAGATCAGGGCTTTTGTGTAACCTGGATGAAATAGGTTGGCAAGTCCCACCCCATCCTCTGGTGGAAAGTTCTCCATAGCACAGAACCCACACTGAGAGTCTGACTTTTTAAGATGCTGAGCAACTATGTCGTGTTCAGACTGAATGGGAATTGCAGATTTTGATCTTAAAATCAAGCATTAATATTTCCTCTTTAGCAGTCTCAGCAGGTTGTCAAGCAGGTTATGCCGTACGGAGCTGCCTTCTGTGCCCTGGCACTGTTCTCTGCAGGGCAATGCTAACAGAAGGGACAGGGCATTGTCAGCATCACAAGGTGGCATGTATGAAGTCTGATCACTCATTCTGCTTTTAAGGATGCTGGGCAGGCGTGGGAGACAGGAGGACTCACACTGCAGGGCTGTGTGGGGAGACAAGGGCAGAAGAAGTGGAAGTTGGACTAAAACAGCAAGAGGGAAACCCCTTCCATGGGCACAGCGCTGTTATTGGGGAGGAATGCATAATATTGGCAGACAAGCTCATTTTCTGTCCTTGACAGGAACAGTAGCAATTTTTTATTTACCTTTTGCAGAATGTCATTGTGGTTGTATTTGCTAGTTGGGTTGGGAAGCTGGATCCAGAGGACGCTCAGAGGTAACTGCTGGCTTGTGAGGGAGCTATGGCAGAGCCTGGGACGGGCTGCAATTCGGTCACTGGTGTCCACACTGTTCTGTCCATTGAACCCCGTGACACAGCACCACAAACACCGTGTGTCAAAGAGCTTCTGCCTCGACAAGCTTGGAGACTAAAGCTGATGTGAGGAGAAGAACCAGAGAAGAGAGGCCCTGTGCATACGCTAATGTTTTCTGATGCTACAGTTTTGAGTGGTACTGTCACTTCCACATTTGTGTATGCTCTTCATTTGGGTAAGGATTAACTTGCTCTGAAGGTCACAAGTGATGTTCTCAGGATGTTAATGCACTTAATTGTTGTGTTCTCCATAGGGTATTTTTCTTTAATCTCCCCTATGAATCCATCATGGAACGGCTGTCTCAACGGAGGATTGATCCCGTCACCGGGGAAAGGTTAGCACTCATGTCTGATGTTTAACATTTTTCAAGACTGCCAGGGAGATGAAAGCACCAGGTAGACTTCATAGAAATCTAAGGAAACTCAGGAATATTGTACTCTTGCTTAGGGATTCCTTAAGAGAAAAGTTAAAACTTTCATAGCTACTCGAGTACCAACCCATCTCCCTGCTGCAGCAGAAGAGCTCCTCTTCTCAGAATAGGGTATTTAAAATTGTGGAGCCCGAAATCTACAGGAGCAAGTAGCTCGGGTCTGACATTTTAATGGTAACTAAATTGGTTGGTAAAATAATGCTGAGGGAAGATGTCTGAAATCTCGCCTAAATGCAGATGGTTTTCAGACATTCCCATGGGAATTTTGAAGGCTTCCCAGCTGGGGAAAATGGAAAACTCGCTGCATTTTACTTCCCCCAGCTCCTGTGATGGTTCTGTCTGCTCTGAGATATTCATATATTTCCTGCTTAGTAGAGCAAACTTGTTTGAGTCACCCTGAGATTGGGTTCTCCATCGTGGCAGTTCGTCTCACCGGCAGTCACATCACCTGATGTCACCAGTGACCTTCAGGATGACTGTCTGATCCATCCTTGTTTTTCTGGGAACACGTAATAATGAAGTATCTCCCTCCCTAAATACCTGCTGGAATTGGTGTGGATTTGCAACTTCACTTGTGCTCTGTTTTTATGATTCCCCACACTTAAATTTTAAACCGCTATTTTACTTTTCTAATGGTTAAATGCATCCTATTGAATCAAAGACAAATGCTCAACCCTCAGAAATTAAGGCCATAAATAGTGGATTTGTCCCAAAGTGGTACACGATTATTCAGACATCTCACTCGAGGTGTGACATTAACTTGTGACAGCGACAGTGATTTGCTGTAACGGGTCTCTCTGTTTTTGTAATAAGTGTTGTGGTTGTTCAGAAGAAATGAACAGTACGAAGCAAATCATTCACACATCTTTGCATTTCTTATCATTAGGATTAGTCTTTTCAGTATCTGCTCCAGTTCACACGCTTCCTTCTTCCAAACGCTGGGTTTTATTCCTTCCAAATTCATTGTGAATTGAATTGTTTTAGATGCTGTATCTAATCCTCAGCATTATGATAAACCTGCCCCGCTGGCTGCAGTGCGGCGAAGAGGGTTGGCCTTCAGCTGTGCTCTGAGTAATCCTAATGTGGATTGAACTCTGGGTCCACATCCCTGTCCCAGCTGGAGCCACAGGCACAGAGACTCCACTTCTCTCCTAAGTTTTTCTTCTGTCCCAACAGTTTCAAAAAATTTGGCTGTACAGGAACAAACAAGGTTTTGTGTTAGGGCACAGGAGACATTTACTCGGAAGTAGAATTACCCTGGCAGGACATTTGAATACATGTCTGCAAAAGAGCTTTTAGTGATTGTTGGGAGCCTTGGGCAGCTCAGAAGCATTGTCAGAATCCTGTTTGGTGGCAGGTCTCTGGGCAGGCAGAGCTGGGCTGTGACACTGCTACAGGGAAGCCAAATTCTGGCATTTTGGAAATTAGAAAACTAGAAATAACCAAAACCTACATCAGAGTGAATTAACCTCTTTTTAGATTCAGCTACTATAAAAATATGTTAACAATTATATTCTACCTGGTATCTGCCCCAGAAATAGAGACTGAAGTAGAATATTTGTGTCTTCTTAACTTTTTCCAGTGAGCCTTAGCAATAACAATATTAACTCTAATTTTGTGGCTTATCAAGAGGAAGAGTCTTCCAGGCTCGAGCTCGTGGTGCTTTGGAGACTGTGTGGAGGAAGGACTGTGCTTCAGCTGCTGTTCTGCCCTTTGCTGGAGGCTCAGCCACATGCCCACTAATAGGAAATACTTTCAAAAGTTAATGTTGGGGATCCCAGCCCTTTTGCTGCAGTTATGAATCTGAGCAGGAAAGTCCTCAATGTCTGAGAACCTTAAACACATTTGAAGTTAAGGTTCTTCAGCAATGCCCGGTCACGGGGCTGTGTTTGGGCTCTGGTTCAGTGCAAAGAGAACACTTAAAAGTTTGGCAGGATTTTCCTGACTAATGTCCAGCATCAGCATTAACAGCAAACCACAGCAAAGACTTTTAACAGATGCTGAGGTTTAAGGTTAGGCTTTTTTTGATGCATTTTTTAAGATAGAAATCAAAGATTACAAGTAAAACATGTTAACTTCGGATTAGGTCTGGAACAGATCTGGAAAGGCTTCTGAAACTGGAGCATTCGGCAAATAATAGGGATTTCTCCACACTTTGTGTGAAGTATATAAACACAGGACTCTCTCTGTCTCACCTCAAGAGAAACTCTTGTCTTTTGAATATCCAGGATTCTTGAGAGCAGGAATGACAGATCACTTGCCCTGAAATTTCCACTTATTGTCTTAAAAACCCCAACCTAGAGTAGAAAGAGGCACTTCCAAGGAACTGCAATCGGCAGAAGCAGGGAGTATGTTAGGAAATAGCCACTGTGTCCTCAACTTGAGCTGAAAGGGTGGTGTTTGTGTCTCATCTCCAGATACCACGCGACGTTCCGACCAGCCCCCACACCGAAGATCCAGGCCCGTCTCAGGCAGCACCCCAGAGACACAGAAGAAAATATCGAGAAGCAGGTGGAAATCTATTACAGGAACGTCAAGGAACTGGAGGATTTTTATGAAGACGCCTTTTATGTCAATGCCGACCAAGACCCTCATGTTATCTTTGAGTTCATAGAGAGCTGTATCATTAAGCCCCTTCCATGCAAAAAATTAAAAAGCTTATAATTGATAAGGATTATTTCCAGGACAGTTGATTTTGAACTTTTCCCTATAATGTTTGCAGTCCAGTCACAAGTGGCAGTTGTCACCAGTGAACAGGCAGTCAGCAAAGCTCTGTTAAATTTGAAGCTCACCAAGGCTGAGTGAATCAGAGAGAGTAAAAAAACCTGTGTTTTATGGGAATTTTTTTTGGCTTTTGTTTTGTGATCCAAGGTGTGAAGCACTCTAGTTGGAGAAGTTTCTGTGTTCAAGTCAAATATCTTTTTTCTGATTCAGTGAATTTTAGTTTTGCCTTAACCATGTTTTTGTTTTGTGATCCAAGGTGTGAAGCACTGTAGTTGGAGAAATTTCTGTGCTCAAGTCAAATATCTTCTTTTCTGATTCAGTGAATATTAGTTTTGCCTTGCAATACCCATAAAGCCAATGTTTGTGCCTTCATTCCCTCAGTGCCCTCCACTAAAACTCCACGGGCACTACCTGTCTCTCCCACTGTCCTGCTCTGCTGCAAGCAAACACAAAAGCAAATGCAAAAAGGAAGTTTGCAGCTCTCTCTGCAGCACACTTATCCCCCAGACAGTAGTTTGAGGCCAGGGTGCAGAGGTTTGCACTCCCTTGTTAACTCAGATTGTTTAAAAAGTTCTGACAAAACAGTCACCCTGTTCTCAGTCCAACCCCACAGCTGGGCTGGATGACTGAGATCAACTGGAAAAAATATCCAGAGCCATAGAAACTGGTTGCAGGTTCATCCCTTTCAGGCCCCAATTAAGGACATAACGAGCTGCAGGAGCAGATAAGTTACTAAATCCTGTTTTCCTCAGGGAGAGAGGCTCCCAGCTTGTGGCTGCCCTGACTGGGCTGTGGCTGGGCAGGCTGGTGACCTGTTTTTTTTTTGCTCTGGCTGGATCTGGCTGCAGTTAACGCTCAGGTAAGTGTTTCTTAACTGGAAAATCCTTGATGAAAAGCACAGCACTGTTAGCACTTTTAGCTCTGACTATGGATGTGCACATCCTTGATGTTTTTGAGAAAGGGGCGTGATTTGTTGTGATTGAGTGGAGCACTGAGGTTGATGCCTCTATTATGTCTCCCTCTGTTTTTCCCTTGTGTATGAGTGAATTCCCCTTGGCTTCAGCTTTCTCCTGGAAGTCTCTCTGTCTGGGAAGATGCAGGAGGCACCTGCCTTCTCCTTTCAGAGAGGACAGGCCTCCAGGAACTTTTTGGTTTTAGATGACTTGTCTGATCCTGTTGCTGTAAATAAGTTTGGGTCTTTGTTGCTGTCTTTGGTCGTGCGTGTCTAGGTCTGGATGGAGGGCTGTAGGGATAGACTTGCCAAATTCCCTTCTCATTCCTGCAGAGTAAATTCAGGTGGGAGGACCCTGGTTATCCAGGTGGCTATGAGTATATCATATTATTTTGGGTAGAGTTTAAGGTCAGAATTTTCAATATCTTTAGGGGGTTTGGTGAATGGGAATTGGGCTTTCCAGCCTTGAGGGCAGCTTTAAAAATCTCAGAATAAATATCTTTGAAATCTAAGAAAGCCAAATCCTCTGGCACCAGCCGAGTCCTCGGTGCCTCTTGTGCTGAGAAATCCCAGCTTGTGGCGTGGGGCTGAGGCAGCAGCAGGTCCCAGGGCCCAGCCCCAAACCTCCTGCCAAGCCGGGGGAGGGCATTTATAACAGTCCGACCTGTTACAAATGTGCTGTTTGGTAACCTACTTGGGCAGCTGTTTTTTATGCTATGGCTATAAAGATCTGCTGTAGCATTCATGCATAATTGGGAGCCCTTCTATTAATAATACATGGGAAGCTCATCTTGCTAATATCACCTTCATCTGAGTGTTCCTACTAAATATTTTGATAGATGAAATGGATAGAGAGCGTATTTAAATACTGTTTGTACTGCAGCTCGGGTACAAAAGGGACAGTGCATCTTTAATTAGACAGGTACATCTGCTTAATTAATTTAGCTGTAAAGCCCCTTTTTCCTCTTCATTCTTTCATCTATATGCGGGTGCTATATTAGTTCCGCTCGGCTGGTTCCATAGAAACTGAGAAAAAGAGCTGGTCTCATTGAGATGCGCTTGGCATGTCTGGGTACGGAGTCTCAGGTCAATGGTCAACCCCCAAGGGTTTGCTTCAGGCCCGAAGTGCAGAACGTAAGGGTTAGCAGAACATGCTAATACTCGTGTAGAACTCTCCCTCAGAAACAACTAAAACAATTGACATTCATTTAATTACTGTAAACGAAACAGCCCCTGCATCACTTTGCATAGTAAAGCCTGTTAATACCAAAAAGGTTCAGTGGGTGGAAGGAGGAATTAGGCTTTTATAATTGGAACGCAACACTTGAAAAGCAATTTGGTAACTACTGCTTGATTTTATTAGCATCTTATTCTGGCAAAACAAATGTTGAGCAATGAGAAAAACAAGGTGAAGAGGAGGTGGTAAGAACGCAGCGGGGACCAGACGTTACTTATTGCACAGCTTGCCCGGTGCTGAAACGACCATCTTTTACCGCTCTGCTTTGCGAGGACACTTTGCAGAGAGGGCTGCCTGGAGGTTGTGCCATCCCCTATATGTTATGCTGTTAATTACATAGTTCAGCAGCAAGATGAGTCTGTCCAGCTCTTCCACAAACTTCTGCATCCACCTGCTCCAAACACCGGATCCTTCGGTGCGCTGTGGTGGGGAGGACACTTAAACACCCCGATCCCCCAACACTGTCTCTGCAGGGACACCCTGTAGCTCTTGAAAGCTCTCCCTGCCTATGCCTTTGGTTCCTCATCCTTCCCCATAAGGGTTCCAGCACAGAAACTTTAAATGTAGCCAGATTTGCCACCATCTGCTTACAAGGTGCAGTAGAAGCTGCAGGACTGTGATGAAGGAAGGGCCAGTGGGATGTTCATAGAGGTCCTTTAGTTTGGTTTAGAGCAGAGAGAATTGGCAGGTTCCTGGGCCTCCTCTGCAGGGACACCCTGTAGCTCTTGAAAGATGCCTTCTCCTTTGGTTCCTCATCCTTCCCCATAAGGTTCCAGCACAAAACTTTAAATGTAGCCAGATTTGCCACCACCTGCTCACAAGGTGCAGTAGAAGCTGCAGGACTGTGATGAAGGAAGGGCCAGTGGGATGTTCATAGAGGTCCTTTAGTTTGGTTTAGAGCAGAGAGAATTGGCAGGTTCCTGGGCCTCAGTTCTGCTTCCCAAGGGGTGGCTGGAGCTCGTTTGACCTGAAGTAGGAGCAAACGGTGGTTAAAAACCTGTAACTGCTCATCTGTGTCACAGCTGCCAAAACTGAACCTGAAAGGTGACTCTTGCCCTGGGACACATCCTACAGAAAATGTCTGTTCCCCTCTAGAGGCAGGCTCTGCTGGGTTACTCTCCTTTTTCTGCAACAAAACTGTTTGATTCTATGGTAGAAAAGGTGATATCAGGACCCTTTCATCAGAGAAAGCTGGTTCTTCAGTGTGATTGTTTTCTGGAGCTGGAGTTTGTGAGGCCATGGAGAAGAGGGGTTGAACCTGTGCTGGGGAGGAGAAGGGTTGTGTGGCTGAAGGGTGCTATCAGAGCCCAGGTCTCTCCCAGCCTCTAGCACCGGTGTCTGTGACATTGCCTACAGTAAGATTTTCATTATTAAGCTTTTTTTATTATTATTTTTAAATGTGAAGTTTTATGCTGAAGGACTGAGTGTTTAACTGCACTGCTCGCTCTTGCCAGTCTCAGCTCTTAGCACCCTCTGTCCCTCCCAGGAATTCAGTCCCTTAAAATATAGACATTACAAACAAGTACTTTATATATTTATTTAGAATAAAAAAGGAGCAGGATTACAATGCTACCCTGGCAGTGTACAAAACATTCTTCACGTTTACAAAATGTGCCATATACACAGCATCAATATTCACAGCAACTTTGTCAGACCCTCCCATGAACGGAGTCTCCAAGGAAAAAAATCCCCAAACTGAAGATTAAAACTCAACTTGGCTTTTCGTTCAGCCCGGTGACCGTGCGGTCGCCCACCTACAACACTCACCCCAGAACAGAATTCAAGTAGCGTGAAGAGATTGACTCAATTAGCGGAGCAATTAAATTAAACTCTCGTTTGAACAGTCCCTTTTGGGTGGCTCTTGGGTTTTCCCTTGCCAGGGCTCACCTCCTGGTTCGGTGCTCCACAAGAACAACGCCAGGCCCTCTAAGGTCTGCAGTGCACGCCTCCTCCTGTGGTGAAGGTGCTCCAAACGTCCACATTTGGGTAGATCCGGCCACAGCCTAGGACAGTGCAGGGAATTACTCCACTTCCTGCCCCAGACTGTAGTGTAATTAATGCTAATTAGTGCCCCCTGTACCCGCTGCATTGCAACAATGACAACATCATCCACAGGCAGCTGTGACGCTCCTGAGGGCACTGCCCGGATCATGACAGAGCAGCAGGAGCCGCAGTTTTCCGAGTGAAGAGTGCTAATAACTGAGTTAGCCTTCAAAAATAGTGACAGAATAAGAATATTCCAATTGACACTGAGGGTCTGGGAACATCTTCGGTGAAAAGGGTGAGTTAGAACCGAGCACAAGCAAAGATTAGTGAGGGCAGAAATTTCAGTGAGAGTAAATAGACAAGACTCCTGTGTTAGAGGCACCAAGCGAAGCTGCGGGTGTTGCTGTGCTCACGTGCTGCCCTCTGCAAGCTGTGAAAAACCATCCTGTGTCAGGAATTCCAAGAGAAGGCTCAACCCCATTGTGTTCAGATTCCTGCACCTTTGATCGTCAGGACGGGACCCCAGATGAACAGAGCCAGGCTCAGGTTGTCCTTGTTTACCTCCACGGAGGGGAAGAAAGCAGCTTTCCCACCTGGTGTTTGCCAGCAGAGCTGTAAAACCAGCAGCCATTTCCATGGGGCCATTTGTACCGGTTTTGGTTAAAGAATAAACCCCCCCACTTCGATGGGAGTCTGCAGTATGAGCTGTGTGTTTACAGGCCTGGGTCAGAAAGCTTCAAAAGGGAATACCAGAGAGGAGATGAGGACCGAGGTGGTATCTATCACTGCTTTGAGCATTTCACCTCTATTTACTGAGAACCCATAAACACCTTCTGCCACTTCAATTAGATGTTTACCATAAATTTGACTTTTGCCATGACTACCAGCGCTTTGAGGCTAAAACTGCTATTGCCCTTACTTCCAGTTGCAAAAATACGACCCAGCGCTCTGCGATAACAAAATGTGAAGTTTATTTTATTGTTAAGCATTGGATGCTATTGCCCTTACTTCCAGTTGCAAAAATAGGACCCAGTGCTCTGCAATAAAACGTGAAGTTTATTATATTGTTAAGCATTGGGCTTTTGGTTAAAGAATAAACCCCCCCACTTCGATGGGAGTCTGCAGTATGAGCTGTGTGTTTACAGGCCTGGGTCAGAAAGCTTCAAAAGGGAATACCAGAGAGGAGATGAGGACCGAGGTGGTATCTATCACTGCTTTGAGCATTTCACCTCTATTTACTGAGAACCCATAAACACCTTCTGCCACTTCAATTAGATGTTTACCATAAATTTGACTTTTGCCATGACTACCAGCGCTTTGAGGCTAAAACTGCTATTGCCCTTACTTCCAGTTGCAAAAATACGACCCAGCGCTCTGCGATAACAAAATGTGAAGTTTATTTTATTGTTAAGCATTGGATTGCTGCTAACTCCACACTTAGAAGGTGCCAGAAAGAATTCAATGAGCAGCATGAACTAGGTTATAAAATGCCACCAAGCACCTGATGGCGATCACCAGTAGGAAGTGGGCACATGGTAGTGTCTCACCACTCCCCAGCTCACCAGGAAGGCAGAGAGGATGAGGAGCAGCCACCATCCTGCCCCTTGAAGATCCTCTCTCTGCAGCCACATCTCACCGTGCTCGTGCCTCTGTCTCTTGCACGTTAATTTAGTTGTTGTCAAAAGAGCAAAAGCTTCAGTGATGATGGGCTCTCTTCCTCTTCCTCCTCTCTCTGATGCCATACCTGGAGGTGGCAACTGAGGCTCCAGGGGTTGTGCCTGCGAATTGGCCGCTGCTTCACAGACCCGGCCAGTCGTAGAGGGCAGGCTCTGTAGTTGAGAAACTAAACTCGTACAAAGAAGTCTCCTGTAAATGTTAGTTTAGGGCGTAACGGGACAGGAGTGATTTGTTGGCCTTTAACTAGGACTATAAATGTTTGCATTTGGTTCTTTTATGACAAGAAACCCTTAATGAGGAAAGAGTAAAGAGTGTTATGCTGCCCATAACCACTGATGATTCATTAGTCAGGAGAAAATTTAAGAAAATCAGGGAAATATTTATTGCCTGTAGGTATGCATGAGCAACTGGAATATTTCCCCTCTAGAAATATAAAATAGGATTAACAGGATGGGGGGAACATACAGAAGGAAGGGACGACTGAATAATGAGGTTCCCAACCCAGAGCTGAATGGGGCAAAAGGCAGCCATGAGTTCCACTGTCACCAGTTCCGGAGCAGGAGGTGGAGTTTGGAGACCCAAGACCGAGTCCTCATAACCCCACACTTTCACCTTAGGTCCAACAACGGCACTAAGCAGCTGCACAGAGCTGTTTTCTTTATCCATCCAACCTGGATTAGCCTGGATGTCCTCATCCCAGTGGAGGAGGATAAACTCCTGTTATGGGCACCAGTAGCAAATCTTAAATGCTATCAGAAGCTACTTATGAAGGACAATGACAGATTGGCTCCCAACACAGAACACAGCATCTCTGGCTGTTAATTCTCAGGTGCAACAGCAAATACCACAATCCTTTAAAAGAAAAAAGAAAGGAAAAGCAGTGCATGAGGTCTCTCTGCTGGGGTGTTAATTCTTCCTCTGGAGATGAGGCACCACCAACAGCCACGGTATTTACCACCAAATGGAGAAGCAGCTGAGGAGAGCCTCCAACTATTCACTTGTTTGAGACCTCTCACAAAACTCAGGGCAAAAACTTAGTGAGGAAAAAAACAACCCTCTGATTTTTGTGGGGTTTATTCTTTCAACACTTGGTTTCTCTAAACAGACTGGGCCTTAATACTGGAGAGCTCGAGCATGTGTTAGTTTGAGAAGGCAGCTCTGTTAATGGCAGAGGAGAACAAGGACCTGGCAGCAGGTGCTCACACCTTCCTCACCCACTCTCCTTGCCCGTGTGGGATGAAAGCAGGGCTTTGGTCAGGACAATGTGAGGGATAACACTTCCCAGGGGCTGCTGCAGCCCTGGGGGTTGTTACGGGACCCACCAGGAGTGGGACCAACCTCCACGTTCCCAAACTGCAAATCACAGGTCCCAGACAGATCTAACAGGGTTCTTGCAGGAAATCTCGGCTGTCAGCTGGGCAGAAAGGTCCAGTAAGAGCAGCATCAGGGGTTAAATGTTACTGGTCTGAGGTGTGCAGTACCACTCAAGCTACACTAGTTAAAAATACACTTAGGGACCAGTGATGGTTTAAAAAAAAGAAAAAAAAATTAAAATCACAATAGCTCTTTACCTGTTGTGAATGGGTCAGGGTGAGAAGTGAAAGCTTTGTGCTAAAGGATCTCCACTGGCATGCAGACAAAGCCGGCATCACTGGCTTTAAAATTCCATTCTCCCAGCAGCCATAAATCAGGTTAAATAAACTGGCAATGGTTTACTGAGTATCTACTGCCTTAAAAGACAAGGAAAATAACCGTTAACGTTCGGTGTATTGGAGCTGCTACGTCTCTAAAGCATTAAAACTCAATCCAGGGAAATTCAAGGTAACTGCTAGAAGTAATCACCAGGAGTTAATCTAATGATCTCAAGCTGAACCTTTTGGTCAGCCAGACTTGAACACTTCAGCAGATGAGGGTATCATTATAGTTTCTAAGCCAAAGAAATGTTCTTTGACTTCTTTTAAAAGCACTTCTACATGTGGTTCTGGAGAGCTCTTGCCTTTTCCGTGGTCAGGTGAATTTCTGAATCTAACATTTACTCACAAACTGGTCGGCACTGCCCGGACAGGGACTTGCAGCTTCCACTTGCAATGTTTTCTCTACCACCACAAATAAATCTTCTCTTCAACTCATGTTGGAAACTGATGTTCTGTTCCTCCCAAAGCCCATCTCCACTGGGAGGGAGAAGATAAAAGCTGCCCCAGGTACAGAACCTGGCCCCAAACTACGCACACGTTGGGTGTCGGGGTTACTCTTTTTTTTACTTGATGCTACCACGATCTACATTTTCTTTCTTTGCAGACACACTGAAGTCATTTCAATTTTCAATGCACAGCAATAAAAAACTAAACATTTCTTTAATACAATTACGGTATCGCTTCCAAGGGTATTTACAAACAAGGCTAATTATTTTACAGATGAATGTGCTTCTGCCGTTCTAGTCTACTATGTTAATATTATTCTCCAAGCACGATCATGCTTAATGCATGAACCACTGAACGGGAAGGAGAGCTGACTCCTTTTCACATTTGCTGAAAAAAATCTGCTCCTACTAAAGGTGAAGAAACGTTAAGAAAATATGCATAGTCATTGAATCAAGGGAACTTAAGCACCAATCCACACATGCATCCTTGGAGACTGATGCTGTCAGGACAACTCCTTGATTTCTCAAATAGAGGACATCACACGCACCACAAGTGTCATGAGTCACAAAGAGGGCACCACAGCCCAGTGTCCAGACTGGTACAGACTGGCTGAAGAATGTAAATACAGAGACTTTGGATTATTTGACAACATGGATTTAAGTTAACAAGACAAACTGTACCAAATAACTATACACATTTTGGAGGTATTATTCCTCTAACACTGCATAGGAAGTCAAAAAGGGTTCTCCTGCTCCCCACAGGAACCAGATGCCAGAGACAGAAAGATGTTTTTTTTCTGATAGGACAGTGAGAAGGCAGAATGAATTTCTGGGCTCAGCCATGCTACATCATTGGTGTATTTATGAATCTCTTGATGAGAAAGTCAGGGTTCTACAAGAACAGCTTCACCAGACTCCATGACCACCTGTGGGAACTACCCATGACACGTTTGCCATGGGGGTGGTGGGGTTTTCAGGGTTTTTTTGGGGGGTTTTGTGGGGTTTTTTTTACTGCATTATTATGAACAGAGAAACTGTCAGCTGGGAGTGATTACTTGTGTGTCACACTTTTGTAAAACTCAATTACTGTATGAAGGAGACTCTCACTTCAGTTGAGATTAAGGTAAATTGGTAATGGTTTGGTAACCAAGTTACACTGGAAAACACAATTCCTGGTGGTAGAGGGTTAAGTGAAACCAAAGGCATGTGCACTGGCAAAAGCTAGGAAGTGATTAGAACTTAGTTCAGAAAAAGAAAGTGGGGCAAGCGACTGAAGAGCATTGGAAATTATATATATATATATATATATTAGTGTTTAATCTAATTGCGATTAGTTTAATAATTATTACATTTTAAAATTATTCTTACTGATCCGTATTTGACCCAGGCAGCCAGCATTACCCTTCTGACTGCAATACTGTTGTTAACAGTTAAGAGGCAGTTATTCTTCTAGACTTTAAGTGAAACTAACATAACGGCCAATTTCTTTCCTACGGCTGTAACTGGCACACGCTTCACTCTGCAAGAAATTAGAACCACAAATTATTTTGATAGTTTAATATTCTGCAGCAAGTGCCAGTGCTTGTTAAAAAGCAACAGAGAGCACTACGAGCTGAAGCCTTCTCTACCCACCAAGACCATTCAAGAGGCAGCTCCGCTGTTTCCGTCCCAGCTTTTGGGGAATGGCACGTGCTTCAGACTTCAGTTCCTGTTCAGTAAAAGGAGGCATGTCCAGCTGCTGATGCTTCAATGGGGTGCATTTCCAAACAGCTTTACAAACTCACTCTTCCAGATATACTGGAATTCCAGAGAACCAGGCTCTGGACTGAAGGAGTTTCTGGAACCTCCGATGTTGTATTTACAGGGCTGTGGACAATGTCTTCCCCCTCCAGTAAAGTCTGTGTTTCCTGTGCTCTGTGTCCTTCGAGACTGAAGGGAGCTTATGCAGTAGAGAAAATACTTTCAATCTTTACGTAGCTTTTCTCTAGAACACAGGAGAATCACAGAATGTGCAAGGTCCTTGCAATAACCTCTTGATCCATTCAGGATCTGCAAATAAGAAAAGAAGTTGTTTAAAACTCTGGGTAGAGATGAACACAGGAATGACATCTGAGATAGAAACTGTTTTAGGATTACTATTTAGTTTGTCTATATATTCCCCCTCCGGGATTAACTGAGAGTTCAGAGGAATCCAAGTCCATTTCTGTCTTGAAATTTCAAGCAATGCCAGTTTAAGTCCCACTTCAGGAGGGGAAAAAATTAAGGTGAAACACTCCATGCTATACCACTAGATACTCACCTAAATAGCTATATAGGAAAAAAATTTAAAGGATCACCATGCCATAAATGCAGTCTTTGCATTTCCTTAACTGAAATTAGATCCTTCACATAACGCAGTCCTTGGTTCCTGTTTTTGTCCCTCTCCAATATAAGGAAATCAAGTTTACAGCCTCTCTCCACAAAGGTTTAAGTTCTGTAGTTGATCCTTGGTGCTGACTGGAAATACCCATGTATTATGGGGAGAGGAAAAGTATCACCTACTGCTAGAGGAGACAAACTGTTAGAGTACACCATGATTTTTTTAAGTGTACCAGTTGGGAAGAAAACTACTTTCTTGCACAGCTTGTCCTTCCTCAAACTCTGAAAAATGCAAAGCCAAAAGGCTGACTGGCCCCACAGCCTGCTGTTATTGTCTCTGAATCATGTACTTACTCGTGGCAGGTTTGGGACCAAAGCCAGCAAGGTGACAACTGTTTCTTAACCCGTGCTGGATCAATAGAGCTTGCACTGAAATAGAAAGTTCTGCTCTTGCAGAACGGGATGCTGATATAGTCATCCTGAGTATAAATGAAGTGTTGTAGCGCCCCAGCACAGATTATGTGTCTACCCAGCTCTCATTAAAATGTCGTATTTATAAATTAATTTCTGCAGTCACTATTTTGTAATTAACATATTCCACTAATGCATGGACAACAACAGGACACTGTGAAATGGAGAGTACTAGTATTTCACATGTTAACTGCCTAAAAGAGAAAAGTCAGTGAAATGAATTCAAGTCTTTTTGCAGATAAAACTTCAGTGAAATGAATTCAAGTCTTTTTGCAGATGAAATTTAAGAATACATAATCCTGCCCCTTTTGGCCAGAGGAGGAGTTTACCTTCTGGGGTTGGATGCCGTGCGATGCTGTCATGAAGCAAACACCTCCTGTACACCAAACTCTGGCAGGACTGGTAGGTTAGAAAGCACCTGTGAAAGGACAAGCAGTTTTATCAAGAGGCTTGAGGTTTTGTTGGTTTGTGACTGGAGGCTGGGTTCTGTTCCCAACAGACCTTGCTTCCTGAGAGCTCAGGCAGTACTGAGCCACATTAAACATGGAAATCAATACATTATTAATTCAGTAAGTGAAACTTCATTGAAAAAAGTTGGTCAAAAAATTTTAGCATACAGTAGAAGAGGTGCAGAACTTGAGGGTTACTGCCCAAGGGAGGAATTATGGTGTCTTTAAGGCTATTTAGCCAAACTACCACATAATACCTGCCAGGCAAAGGTTTGGGTTTTTTTTTTTACTGACTTGCCAGTCTCCAGGGACAATCACCACGTACCCGATATATTCATGTTGGAAGACTTCCTTTTCTAGATGTTCCAGAACTTGTCTGAATTCTCAGTGTGGCTGTTTCCAATCATTTTTTGTTAAATTACTTTGTTTTCAAATGCTGAAGTAGCTGGAACAAACCCTCCTTCATGTGCTGTTCCAAAGGATGACTTGTGTTTGATTTTCCCTCACCTACTTTCTCCCCATCCCCACCCTCCCCCTGCTTGAAGAAAAAAGATGATCACAAGCATTTTATTTTTAAAAAGTGTATTGATAAGAAAGCCCAATCCAGTCTCCTGTGCCCTCTCTCTCTCATTGAAGAGGGCAGATAACAGCCAGCAAAAATTACAATTAACTGCATGACTTTTCACTCCAACTCTGGGAAGTGTGTCAGGTTAGCTATTTAAGGATGGTTAAATTATCTAGAGGGGGGCAAAAACTCTTTTAAGAACCAATTACCTGAGCCAAATGTGTCCATTGGAGCAGACTGCCTGTTTGCGGTCGGTGAATGGCAGGATCTCTTTACACAAGCTGCAGTGTTCTGGAAAAGTCTGTTTGTTCATTTTCTTTAAGATATGCCCAATCAGCACCTGGGAACACAGAGCAGTCAGCGTTGGTTACAGTGAGACAGCTGCCTATGGGGAGGGGGAAACTTCTCTCAGGATATGATACAGGATGCAAAGATTTATGCTCTTCACCGAATTCAAAGAAATAAAAGCATAAGAAATAGAATACATTGAAAAATATTAGTTTAGTCTCATTGTGTGGTCACCTCCTAAAGATTTCTGTCCCACAGTAAAGGGATACAGAACTTAAGAGCAATGGTGTTATGTTAAGCTACTTGCAAATGTAAGAAGTACTGAAGAAATTGGTCTCACACCACTTTAGAGGATGGCACTGACCCCTGGAGCAATGCTTTCACCTTCTCATGCCTATCACAGTGGATGTGCTAAAAAGAATTCCTCTTTAGAAATTACCTGGATGCATGTCTTCAGCAGTCATCTTAAGAGTATACACAATGTTTATAGTAGAACATTTATGTGATCAAATTTGTCTTTAACATTTCAATAGATATAAAACACATGCAAGGACCTTTAAAATGTGACAGCAAACTGAATAGATAAAATGGAATTTGGAAGTCAGCTTTTAATCATTGTAAAAACAAGAACCTTGTTACAAGAGAGAAAAGCAACCTCTCAAAGCTTCAATTCATAGTAATTGGGTGCTAGAAAAACACAGCAGTTCTGCCAGAATAGTTTCCCAGTGAATGCCTGATGGCCACGCTGCGTGGCCCGCTTGGCTGTAAGTCCAGCAGAGAGAACACCACACGACATCAGGAATGAAAATGTGTTCCTTCCCTGTCTTTCTGGATGCAATGTAAATGTTCATTTTTAGAGTTCCAGTGATTTAAGGGCTTGGGTACTGCAAAGAACTGTTCTCTGCTCATACAAAGATGTACAGAGACATCTGAGACATTCTTGTCATCAAGTCCTAAGAGGTGGGAGGCTGATGGTGGCATGTTCCACCGAAGCTTCCTTTGGCTGATGTCTAAACTGAGGAAACCTCACTGCCCAGTGCTAAATTCACTGATCACTTATTTCCTGACACAGATGCTTACTCTACACATTGCAACAGTCAGGATCTGTCCTCGTAGTTATACTTGTATTTTGGTGGGGAGTATTGCAAGTTTGGGAAGAGTTCCTGGCACAGCCAAGCATTCAGTTATGCTTATTTGTTGTAGTACAATAAATGCAACCATGCAAGCCTGAAGGTTCAGGCCATGCATGTTATAAAAAAAAAGACATTCAGCTTGGTTAATTGAAAGTCCTGCACAAAGTTCTGAATCACTGGATTTAACTCAAAAAACACAATCCCTTTCTGAACTTCTGTCACTGATCTTTCCACTGGAGGCTGATGGAGCAATGACAAACCCAATGTACCACCTGAACAGTCCCTGTACTTTCAAGTATAAATACTTCAAGCAAGTGATACTGCAACTTTAAAAATTAGAATTGCAGACATAGCTGACTGGAGGAAATACCTTCTAAGTTTAGTTTTGTAGAGGAGATAGATTAAATAAACTTACCCGTGAAAACAAACATCCCTCTCTATCAGTACATGTTCTAAAGCCACCAACAGCAGCAGAATAACCATGGTCCTCTCCCTTGTTCTGCAGAAGCCCAGACAGTTCACTTATTCTTTATTGTACCTGATCCAAATCTCAACATCTGTATTTACATTCCCTTCCACTGGAGGCTGATGGAGCAATGACAAACTCGATGTAACATCTGAACAGTCACTATACTTTCAAGTATAAATACTTCAAGCAAGTGATACTGCAACTTTAAAAATTAGAATTGCAGACATAGCTGACTGGAGGAAATACCTTCTAAGTTTAGTTTTGTAGAGGAGATAGATTAAATAAACTTACCCGTGAAAACAAACATCCCTCTCTATCAGTACATGTTCTAAAGCCACCAACAGCAGCAGAATAACCATGGTCCTCTCCCTTGTTCTGCAGAAGCCCAGACAGTTCACTTATTCTTTATTGTACCTGATCCAAATCTCAACATCTGTATTTACATTCCCTCCTACTCTGTAATTTTAAGGAAGGACAACCTAAGCTGTATGCTCTGCTCCTACTCTGTAATTTTAAGGAAGGACAACTTAAGCTGTATGTTCTACAGAAGCTGACTGGCAAGGATGACATGATTACAGGTACAGAAGCTGACTGGCAAGGATGACATGATACATCTCTTTCCCACCCCAAAGCTGTATTTTCACGACAGATACGGAGGGGGAGAAAGAAGTCACTTGTACCACGGAATGCCCGGAGCAGAGAGGTGCACTTACTCGTGCTGTTCTGTCATCATAGCCATCATCGGACATTAAGAAGTCACAGACTCCTCTGGTGGGAATACTGGTGTTCTCTGTAATCCAGGTGTGTAGATAAACTTCTCCCAACACCCGTTTCATGTGTTCTCGTGTCAAGTGCATTTCTACTGCCTCAATCTGTGCCTGTACTTCAAGAAGCTTTTCTTCCATTGGCTCGCGGCCTCCTATGTCACTTGACTGAGGAAGAGAATCATCTGCAGTGTCATCTATGTCCATACCTTTCCCCGTGTCACATAGGCTCTGCTTGCTGGCTTGTTTAGAAGTCCCTTCCTCCTGATCATCCTCCGTGCTGCCCATCCCAGGGGAATCTGATACCAAGATTTTTGCATCCTCGTGTGAAGGTCTCCACATGACCTCCGAGGGAGCTTTCTGCATGGACTGGTACAAAATCCTCAGGAGAAACAGCTTAAACCGCCAGAAGTAAGTAGAGCCACAGCTCTCAATCTTTTTATCCAGTGCTTCCTGTAAGAATTGAGGAATATGCTTATCCTTCAGAATTTTCCAGCGTACAAGGTCTGTCAAGTCCACTTGCCGGAAAAGGTTCTGAACAGAAGACTCCAAGAGCTGCGCTGCTGCCTCCTCAAAAGTCTTAAGGGTTACAAACTGGACTTGGTAGTTTTTGTTAACCGGGTGGAGACCGTTAATCATTCCCTCTGTCGTAATAACCGCTAAGTACGCGCCGCAGGGGCTAACGGCTATTCCGTGAGTCCTGACAGAGCCAAACACTTCCGAGAGCTTAATCAGCTGGTGCTCAAACTTTAAAGCAACGTCTGTGAATATAGGAATGAGCTGCCTCACCTTTCCATCACTGGAGCAGGTATACACCGTGCCGTTCTGCTTGTCTGCAGTCATAGACACGATTGGCAAAGAATGAAGCCCTGTCACGTGGGAGTTATGGACGTTCAGACCCGCTTTGGATATCAAGAGGAGACACCAGAACACGTAAGCTCCTCTTGCAGCCACCACTAAGCTACAACTGCATTTCTGGTAGGGGTGGTAAAGAGGAATGCACTTGATGCTGTGCACTGGTAACTGGTCCATTTCTTGCCATAAGACCACGGGTTGTCTCAGCGTGAAGTAGCCTTTGACTGCTTTTAGATTGACAGGGAGGATCTTAACCGGTCCAAAAGCACTCCCTACAATGAGCCCACTCATCTTTCGGTTGTTGTGTTCGTATTCCCACCAAGACAACACACTTGGGGAATTTATTCCGGACTCTATGGTATTGCAAGAAGTAATCGATTCCTTACCCAGAAATGGCAGCTGGAATTGCCAAACTGCAATGTTACTGTTTTCAAAGAGTACTGCCAGGAGCACGCTACCCACATCCCGGCATTCGTTGTTGTGTTTAACCTGCTGGGTGGTGCAGATGCCCGACCACTCCATGCGCACCGGGGTCTGCATGCTGTGCCGCCGCTGGAATTCCGAGAAGTCTCCTAGTTCTCCCCTGGGAGTGTCAGCTTTAGAGAGTTTGTAACTGGCTTCGTACAGACGCTCCCCGTAGATTTCGGTCAGGTCCACCAGCTGCACCCACTGCAGCCTGTTGAGGTTGGCGTGGATGGTCAATCGATTGTCCATGGTTAAAGCTGCCAGGAGGCACCTCCCGTTGGCGTCACAGCCCAGGGGGGACCAGCTGGAATACTTGAATCCTCGCATCGGAGGCAAGGACTTTCCTTCGGGATTGAATACTCGATCAAGCATGAAAGTCTGACTAACCGTTGGATCCACTGAACTTGCAAACTTTTCCTTACATTCTGCTACCTCCTTTTTTGGACCAACCTAAAAGATAACAAAAAGAACTTTTAAAACGCAAAACTTTTTTTTTTTTTTAGGATGACTTTCCCAGAACTAATCCCCACTTGAAACAGAACATCCCCTGTCACAACACCTGGGAACAATGCTGTTCCAATGGCTAATTAACCTTGCTCTTGAAGAGTAAGCCTCACTGTTGGCCTGAATTTGTACAGTTTTGACTTTGAATTTTTGTCTGTTGAATCAAAGAGCCTGTTTTCATACTTCTCAAGTGTGTACTTAATGGTACTTGGCATAACTTTCAAACTGTAAAGCACTCAGTATTGCAACTCGAGTTATTCCACATTGTCAGCACTGTTCTGGAATAAAAGACTCAGCTCAGCAACGAGAGTTATTATTTAATAAGATATTCACCCAGCCTTGCCACCTCCCTGTGCTAAGGAGTGTAAAAAGTCAGATTCGCCCCTGAAGCACAAACCAGTCCCTGCTGCCCCTCAGCTTAGGTAGGAAGCCAAGAAGGATTTCTCCTTAAAATTGTGCTGAAATAAGCATCATCCAAGTCCTGCAGCTGAAGCGGTTCTTAGAAAAACCGCTAAACTTTAGAATCCCTCAAATCCACTTGGTACCGGATCACGTTGCACCCTGAGTTATGGGGCTATTTAGGGTTTTTTGTCCCCATTATGTTTTTCAAAAGCACCAAATACAGCGCGGGGGGCAGGGGCGGCCCCGGTGGGGGGGG